AGAGGTTGCACCAGTCTGCACTCCCACCAACAATGGAGAAGGGTTCCTTTCTCCCCACAACCCTGCCAACATTTGTTATTATGTGATTTCTTGATAGCAGCCATTCTTTGTGGGGTGGGTGAATCTCAATGTTGTTTTCATCTGCATCTCTCGAATGACCAGTGCAGACAGCTCTTTCTAGAAACCAAATCATTGGTAGATGGGGTGGTGGATGCCTGTAAGTCCAGCACCCGGGAAGCTGAGGAAGGAGGATCACAAGTTCAAGCCCAGCCTGAACAACTTAGTGACTTAGCAAGACTCTAGCTTTAAAAAATGAAAAAGTCCACCGCCTGCCTCACAAGAGCAAGGTCCTGAGTTCAATCCCTAACACCAAAAAAAAAAAAAAAAAAAAAAAAAAAAAAGAAAGAAATTTAAAAGTGTTGGAGATGTAGCTTAGACCAAAGGCCCAAGTTCAATCCCCCGTACTGTAAAAACAAAAATAATAGAATAAAAGGCCAAATCATACCATGACACTTGCTTACTAAAAGCCCTTTCACAGCTTTCTACATCTCGGGGTGAGGGCCGACAGCCTCTCTGTGGTCTCTGGGCAGCGTGACCAGGGTGGACCTGCCTCATGCTCACACAATGCAGACTCCCAGGCACCTCTGTCCCACTGCAGACCTGGCCAGCCTACTCCCCGCAGCCCCAGCCTGGCCTGTCCAAACTCCTCACAGCCCAAGCCTCAACGTCCTCAGAGGACCCTTCCCCGATGCCCCAGCCTGGTGAGATTCCCCAGAGGACAGGCATCTCAGACCACTCTGTGCTTTCCCTTCCTAGCCTCAGTCACAGGACGGCTATGTCATCATTCATGTTTATTCACTTGACGTCTAACATCTCCTGCCCCCACCAAGTAAGTTACAGACTTCGAGGAATGGAAATTAGGGGAATGCTGCCCACCGCCACCTGGCCAGCACTGGATGAAGACCTGGCACACGAGAGCTGTCCAGTTATGTTTGTGTGTGGCGAAGGTACACACAAGGGCAAAACACGTATTCATCACCGTGCACCGAAAGGTCCCCAAGTGCTGCTCAACCCGTGAGAGGGATTCTGGTCAGCAGTCAAGGTCCACCCAGTTGCTGAGATGCCACCCAACTATCCTTGTATTAGAATGCAAATTTCACCCTCTTGAAGCTACAGAAAGCTTGTTTAGGGCCTGAAAAGTGTCACAGTTACAGCCCATCTAACCAAACATTTAATGGGAAAAAATATGAAGAAACCCAGCTCATTTCAGACTGCAGGAAAGAACTTCCTGCTCCACTGAAAGGTGACTAACTTCAGACAAGACAAAAGAAACAAACTACCAACCTTCAGGGCAGGGCAGGGGACACTCCAATTCTGTTTTGGCCTGTCCTTTGCTAGCATGCACCTCCAGAGGCTGTGCAGTGCCCCGTCAACCAATGACATCTCCTAAAAACACCTTCAACCACATGAGGGGGCATAACTGAACTCGGGAAAGGAAAAACGGGCCAATGTCACCTTTGCTAAAGATGTTTTCTTTTCCAAAGCCCAGGAGGGATGAAAAGATGTTTTTCTCTGCTTTCAACATGAACAGTAACACACAAATATGTGACATTTATTTTAGTCCTTGATCAGAAAGCAGTCCTTGAAAAATCACGTGGTGGTTTGGATCTGGGAGGTTAAGAAAAGTCGGGAGCTGGCTGTGGGCTAAGCAGCGGAGTCTTCTAGACAAGCAAGCTCGGCACCTCCTGCCTCCTCCTGCCCGGCCCGCCCTGTCCCGGCACAGCCCTGGGGAGCAGGGCGGCACTCACCGTCTGTCACGGCACTGCCATTAGGCACGCTTCCCAGGTCAACAGTGGGCCCGTCCAGGAAAATCGTCAGCTCTCCGCCTGATACAACACTGCCTTTGTTCTCCGTCTGCAGGTTCAGGGTCAGCTGCGTGTTCTCCACTGTGGGTCACAAAACGCAACATGGGTGGACTAAATCATATGCACCCCGCGTTCTGAGTCTGGATGTCAGGACCTCCCATTTCACCTACTCCAGGTCCCCTGGCAATGCCTGCCTCATCTAGTCTGTCCCGTGGCATGGAAAAAGGGATGGGAAAGAACATGTCTGATGGTGAACGTTGTTGTGTTAGGCTGGTAGGAATGAGTTGCTCATTTGTTCTAAACATTTTATATCATTAGATTAGGCGCAGGGCTGTAAGAAAAAGGGGCATTAATGGTGTACAGAAGGTAACATTGGTCGTGCCCACAACCCACAGGAAGAATAAAAAGAAGAGAAACAAGCCAGGATCCCCAAGGAAATGCCAACAGAAGTCCTCTTTAGAGGAGTGCAGAGGCTTATTTTCTTCTTGAGTTAAAGGGTACTTCGTGCCCTGGACCTGGTAGTGCACGCCTGTAGTCCCAGCATTCAGGAGGCTGAGGTAGGTGGATCGCTGTGAGTTCAAGGCCAGCCTGAAGGCCATAGGAAAACCCTGCCTCAAACGAAGAAAAAGGTACTTCTTGTTTTGTTTTGGTGCTAGGAATCAAGCCCAGGACCTCTATGTACTAAACTTGTGCTGCACCTCTGTGCTTGTGCTAAACTTAGGTTTAACCCCAAAAGATATTCTTAAAATTTTTAATCCTGCCAGATATAGTGTACACACCCGGAATCCCAGTTACTCAGAAGGCCCAGGCAGGACAATCACAAGTTCAAGGTCAGCCTGGGCAACAAAGTCAGACTTTGTATAAAAAAAAAAAAAAAAAATGATTTTAATCCTCCAAATGTACCATTTTGAAATATATGGGGAATTTTAAAACCATCAAAGCTCACTAGCAGCAAGTCAACTCCATCAGTCCTGTAAAAAGAGACTAGGCAACATCTGGCTGTGTGACTGAGGTGAGACCCAGCTTACCAGACCACCAAGCAAATAAAAGGTGGGCAACTGTGACCGGAAATGGAACAAGTGTACGTGAGGTAGAGGCATGAAGCCCAGGCAGGCCAGAGACACCCCACACACCCCGCTCCACCGCTGAGCCGGACCACACGGAACAGTTTCCATCTGGGTAAAGGCTCTGTCCCCGCCAACTGCCTCCTTCTGTTCCGTTCAGCCAGTGGCAGGCACAGCCTCAGTCAGGGCCGTCAGTGATTTCCAAGCTCCGAGTACTGAGCTCCCCCACGCAGGAAAGCACCACAGGTTGGAATTTCTTTCCTCCCTGCCCTACACCCAACCCACTACTTCATTTTCCTCCTGGAATACCCAGCAAAACCACGTCTCAAAAAAATAAAAAAGGGAGAGGGAGAAAGGAGGAAGGAAAGAGGGAAGCAGGGAGGAAGAGAAGTTTCCCTCCTCCTATCTCCAGGTGAGGTCCAGCACCTAAGTCTCAGGCTACACACTTGGGGGGCTAAACGGGCAGGCACTGTGGGGCACCCCTGGTTCTAACCTCAGCTGTCACCTAAGAGCTCTGCGGCAATTAACAAATTTCTTTTCTTTTCTTTTCTTTTCTTTCTGGTGCCAGGGATTGAACTTGGGACCTTGTGCTTGTGAGGCAGGCGGAAGTACCACAGAGCTAAATCCCCATCCCCAACAAATTTCTTAACCTGAGTACTAGCCTCCCTCCCTCCCTTCCTCCCTCCCTTCCTCCCTGAAAAACTGGAGTAATCACAGCACCTCTACACAGGACACTGGAAAGACCTCAGCAGCCCCTACCTAGTAAGCTCCCAAGCAGTGGCCATTTCTGTTTCTTCCTGTTGGCTTTCCCAGTTTTAGACTAAGGAGTCCTGATTTCTCTTGATCTAACTTACTCATTTTGTGTTGCTCTTGGCCTGAGATTTTTTTTCAGATTGTGGCAGTAAACTCCTCAGAATCTTCCAAGGTAGGCCACACAGCCATCAAGGGTGAACTGTCCTGCTTCTAGATACCCCCGAAGGCGCACAGCCTTGGGGTCAGAGCAGCGCCATCAGGACAGTGCCTACAAAGGCATTCGAGAAGGGCTCCTGGTATCCCTTCCTCCTGTCTCACGGATATGGGATGCTTCCCGCATCCCTGGAGGGATGATAGCGTTCAACAGCAAGGTGGAGGGCGCTGAAGCTGCCAACTTCACCTGGTGAGTCACCTAGCCCCAGTCCTCTGAAAGAAGCCACAGGCACAACCTGAGCTTTCGTCCCTGTGTCTCAGCCACAGCTCCCACTTGGCTCTTCTATCTCATTTACTCAATGTCTCAGCAGCGTCCTTACCTCCTCAGAGGCTCGGAGGTCACCCTGCAAGCCTTTGGGACACATTTTACCTTCAAGAAGAGCCCAGTGGGGGTACAGAGGTGTCTTTTCTCTTTAAACCTCTGAGAACATAACCATCCACTGTTTCAGTTATCAAAAAGAGAGCCAGAGAGACCCTGGCCGTCATGATCAAAACCAAGTGATCAAAGTTGGTATCGCTAAGAATGAGTCGCCTGATGGCTTGCAGTGTGAAGCACACAATGTCACTCTTCAAGTCCACTGGCTAAAGGCCTCTGATCTGAATCTAATCAGGCTTCTAAACCTATTCTCCAGGTCACATGAACTAAGGGGCAGAGAAACAGACTCAGTGATACCACAAGACAAGCAGGCAGTTCCGGGGTACGGAACACCTCCAGGCTAACTCTCCTGGGTGCCTGAAAAAGTCAGTGACATTAGATACACTTTTATTTCTTAAAAAGGGAGGACAGCTGAGTGCTGGGATTACAGGCATGTGCCACCATGCCTGGTCTTAGGTAATTTTTATAACTGTTAGTAACACTGGAAAATAGTCCATGTATTACACCAGAGTTGCTTCGTACATTTCAGAATATTGTCACCACTACTTGAGCTAAGTTCAGAAAATCTCAGAACCTGCTTTAAAAAAAAATTTTTTTTTTTGTTTTTTTTTTTTGGTTTTTTTGAGACGGGGTCTCACTATGTAATGAGACTGACCTGGAACTCACTATGTAGCTCAGACTGGTCTCAAACTCACAGCAATCCTCCTGCCTCAGCCTACCGAGGGCTGGGATTACAGGTGTGCGCCACCACGCCCAGCCTTGCTTTAAGATTATTAATGGTTATATTTTTTTATCATCCTCAGAATTTTTACAGACATATGCAGTAGGTCTTTGTCAGTCCCTTTGTGAGCTATTAAAGTAAATTACTACAGAAGGTCAAGTTCAAGTGCTCAAGCATTAGAGCAAAAAGAAAGTACTGTGTGGCTCTTCCAGTGCAGGGAGGGCACTGAAGATCCTGGAGCCCCTCGGCCACAGGCTACTTCCTGCACTGTGGGATGTGGCAGGAACCATTCCTCCAGCAACGCCTGCCCAGCCCATCTGTCTCTATCACGGCGAGATAGATCTCTGCCTCCTAAGGCTGAGAGACCCCAACCTCACCCTCAAGATGAAGCTATCGAATTTTGAGGTTATGGAAAATGCCCTGAAAGTGAGGGCAGTATTAGGCCCACAGATGTTTCAGCCAATTTTACCCTACATTTTCCGAGGTATCACAGAAGGAGAGAGGTATCCTGTAGTCATGTCCACATATCGTGGAGTTATGGGTCGAGTGCCACTACAAAATTTTAGTTTCTTTTCTTCACTGCTTACTGAGATGGCACATAGATTTAATCCAGAGATGGACAAGCTCTTGGGAAACATGACTGAAATGTGGGTTGACGGACCAGACATCACCCAGCCTGAAAGAAGAAAACTTTTCAGCTTTGGCTTTGCTTTCACTTCTGCCATCTGATAATAGTGTTACACAAGGTAAATTCTGTGGGATCATAAATATCTCAGTGGAGGGCCTTCATGATACCATGACAGAAGACCTTGAGGGAGGAACGTATGAAGACGGTATGTGGATGTCTCATCTTGAGGAACCAAAAATAACAGAAGATGAAGAACCACCGACAGAATAAGGTAAGAGGAAAAAGACGCTGGCCCCAAAGGACCCTGTGCACACAGTATCGCTACAGCAGTTCGCCTACAAGACTCACGGCACAGCAGGAGTTCCTGGGAGAACAAGGCTTCCAGTCTCTCGTGCAAACAGTGGACACAGAGATTGTCATCCTGTTGCAAGAGTTTTTGCAAGGATTCTAAGAGCAGAAGCCTCATGACCACCACCTTTCCAAGACAGGCTGAATAACTCAATCTGTCAAATGTTTGTGCAAGCCTGCTGAAATGAAAGGTCACGTATGTATGAAGATGAAACGAAGACACGCACTTTTTTACTATGAAATATAAAGATAAAATGTAAATGCCATATAACTAAAATCACAACCTATTCCTCAGAAGAATTTAATTTTATATTTATAAAGGGGCCCTGTGTTTAGCAGCAGTATAGTTATGGGCAATAGCTACTTAATTCCCTGTTAAGAGAAGATACTTTGATTATCTTTTAATCATGTACTGTGGAAAAGATGAAGGTTAATGTCTGAGATGTTTTTGTGCAACCAAAATTAGCTAAAATTGGCTGCCTTATCTTTGCTTCAGTTAATAAAACCAGTTGAGTAACTGACAAAGCTGTCTAAATAATTCAGTTAAAGAAATGTGTGCACCAGGCAAAAATATATAAATAAAGACAAATATACATCTCCGAGATCATCTTGCAAGGGAGTTGTGTTCATCTGACATAGAACACATATTTTATTAGATAAATGCTTTTACTTTCACTCTAGTAATCTGGCACTTTTTTTCTTGTTTTATTCTCAGTAAAGACATTTAGTCTGTAAGTATACATTGTGAGGCCCAAACACAAACCTGTGGTCCCGTAGTACTAGGTGACAGACCTACGGTCATGGTGTGGCCCTTTTTGTGTTTGGTCCTGTGAGCACTGGGCAGCTCACTGTGCCCCGTGCTGTGCCAGTCAACGTGCCGTAGTGGCCGTTCCGTGCTCGACCACCATAGGTCCCTCGGTTAAGGATGTGTCAGGGCCTCAGAGGACCAGCAGCAGGCCCCAGCTTACCGGCACTGGT